GGGTTTAGGAGAAGTGTTAGAATGAGCAGTATTATGGAGTAAGGAGTAAGTTTTAGAGAGAACCACGTCGACGGCTTCCTGTCTGGCTTCACGCAGTGTGAGTCCAGGGTTTGAATCTGAGAGTTGCTACCTCAGATTCAAATTTGTAGTGGGACAGCCCCTATAAAATACATTAGGGGGGCCGCCACAGTGTTGCACATGTGCGTGATTGTGCAGAGCAGTTAGATCGGGTATGGCCAGGTTGGGCACATAATGGGCATCTGGCTGTGGAACGGCAGTGTTTGGCTGGGTGTCCTAGACGCAACAATTTTGGCACTGACGGGAGGAGGTTGGTAATGGACGAACAGGGAGGATTCTCCTCCTATTTAGACGTTAAAGGGAATGTCATGTCTACGGAGGTAATTTTGGCTATGTTAGTGGGTTGCTTTCTTTCGATGACCTCGTGGGGGGGATGGAATAGCATTGTACTGATGTTGCAGCGTAGTCTGTGAGACAGGCAATAAGATCTCCACAATCTGACCAATCTTTGTCATAGATTGGGCAATTTGTTGGTGAGATTGAGATTGTTCTGTGCAAGTATTGAGGGTTGGGATGGGGTTCTGCTAGGATGGGGTTACCACTAGGTCAGTTAGTTTTGTTAATGCTATGGCTTGGTTTTCGGATGTTACTGTTACAAGACGGGAGCGGTCGGGTCGGCTACGGAAAGAGACTTTACCTACTTGTTTTTGGAGGCATTGTTGGAAGAGAAGGTGTTGTCAGAGTAGGGATCTGTGGAGGGATCACGAAAAATCGGTCCCATTTGGCTGCACTGAAGAGAGTATTCAAGATTGTTTTAGAGATAGGGGTGGTAGAAGGGCGAGGGCGTGACGAAGATGGAGTAGTGTTGATGGAGGTAGTGTTATGGAGAGGTGGGCTATAAGGCTGTAAGGTATTAATAAGGGAGGATGGGGTGGTTGATGTTGGAGGTTGTGGGGGGTAGAGGCGTTGAAGTTGGGCATGCTGGGAGAGTGGAAATGTTCCTTGAGGTTGATTGTTGGCTACTGTACTAGTAGGCATTGGTGAAGGGTAGTTATTGCAGTGTTTGGAGCCGTGGTCAAAGGAGAGCCTGGGGTCGGGGAATCGGGTGGGTTTACTTTGTTCGGGCTATTTGATAAAGGGGCAAGCCTCATTGCCCCTAACAGTGGGGATATATTTTCATTACTGGCCATGGGAAGCCTGGATTATGTTGGGGATAAAAGCAGTCCACCCCTCAGGGTCCCCTTGAGGGGTAAGGGCTAGATAACTAAATCAGGGGAATACCGTGCCCATGGCTCCCTCAGGCCGTTCAGGACTGGCACAAAGTCAGCCTTTCATCCTTTCAGCACGGCTCTCACACCTTAGGAGGTGGATAGCAGAAGGGTTTGGTGAAGGGACAGAAACAAAAGTGGGAAGGGAAAAAAAAGACCATGCATAATTAGTTGAGTCGAGGGCTGAGTCCCAAGGTTGGGGAGTTCCCCATCATTGGGTCCCAGTCTCCGCCTCCTAAGCCCCCCCACGACAACAACGGGCAAGGGATTGGGGGTGGCTAGTTGATGAAGCCTTAATGCCCCGAATAAGGATAAAAAAATAAAAAAAAAATCAACAATATTGGCCATGGTGAGCCTGAAATAAATGAGAAGATACATTCTACCTCAGGCACCCCATAAGGGGTAAGGGCTGGATAATTAAACCAGAGGAATAACATGCTTATAGCTCCCGCAAGCTGTTCATGACTGACACAAAGCCAGCCTTTCATCCTTTGAGAATGGTTCACACGCCATAGGAAGTGGGATAGAAGGGAATGAAAATGTAAAAAGGGAGAAGAGAAGACCATGCAAAATTTGTTGAGGCAAGGGCTGAGGTCCAAGGTCCTTGGGGTTCAGTCACCATCTCTTAAGCCTCCCACAACAACAGTGGGAAAGGGATTGGGGAGATATTGTGAAATATTTATTTATCTCAGTTGGTTTACTTTTTTGTCTACCCTCACAGTAGGTTTTTTGTTTTCAGGGGCAATCCTTATAAGAAAGGTTAATGATCATTGTTTTTTCATTCCACAGCCAACATGTTGATAAGTATCATGTGTTAAGATAAATAGATTTTGTTAATGAAACAAATGGAATATATAATCTCTTTCAACAAACTCGCATTACCTCATTGCCAATCTTTCCTTCCTCTGCCTTATTTTCTTTTCCATATTTAAATATCCATTAACTCTTTTTTCCTTTTAGTATATGGTGTAGATATTTGCATAATGAGAAACGGTTAATAATTACAACTTTATTTCTCTTTAACTTTCACTAGTTTAGCAGTTATCCCCAGGATAATGGTAATGATTTAAAATTGCACTTATAAATGCATCAGTCCTAGTATTGTATCATGAAGTCTTTTGGGCACAGTCCATAAATTTGTAAATGGGCTTTCAGATTTGGCTTATCACACAGGAGGAAAAAAATACCTTGGGTTAATCTCCTTATTCATATATAGTAGTCAGCACCCTCCACATGGATGAATTCTATTTTTGTTGCCCTAAAATGGATTTTTGTTGAAGCTTGATTATGCAAACATTTTATATTATTCTATATATTCTTCTAAATCTAATGGAACAGAAAAATATTTTTTTATGCAAAACTAAACATTCAATGCGTTATACCATGCCTCGTTAATATTCATTCAATTTGAGTATGTTCTTTTGGACAATTTCTTTATTTTTCCATCTTTTCATTAGAAGGAGTTTAAAATAAAAAGTTTTTCATTTTAACATACATCTAATTTTTTTCTTCCCTCTCTCACGCCATAAGATAGAAAAAAACAAAGGTTTTCCTATAACTTTCAGAATTACTTTCACACTTTACACAAATAATCCAGTAATGATATATGAGAAAAAAAACAATAAGTTAATAGTTTGATGGTGATCGTATTCTCTCTACTCCAAGAGCTGTGTCTTCCTGCATTGGGGAAGCAGCCATCATCACTTCATCATCATCCCATTCTGAGTAGTTTGCCCGGTACTGGGATGAATTTGGATTGTTTTGCTGATTTCTGCACTTCTCTAACTTGCCCTCAATCTCACGCCGCACTGTGTCTGAGGCAGGAGGTTCAGCATTCTTAACCATCTTCTTGATTTCTGGGAAAAATGATGGGTTTGAGAATGTGGTCTACCCTTGTTTACATTGGCTGAACTCATAAGGAATACTTGGCTTTGGAAAATTAAATATGGTTACAAACTGCCTAGTGTATTGTGAGTAAAGCACTTTATCCTGCTTTTTCTCTCTTTAATTGACAAAAACTTACGTCACCCATTACTTCATAAATACAAAATGAAAAATATCCTGATTATTTACTGACAACAATAGCCATATTCAAATGAATACATATGATAATAAATATCCATTTAAAGCTTACTTCTCACAGCATCTATAAGGACTTTCAGATGCAGTCTTTGGTCATTTGGGAAGAGGATATCGGTGACATACTGGTCTAGGTTTTCCCCTAACCTGCTCACAGCTGTTGTCACCGCAGCTAAAGCAATCTGTCACAGATATATTAGGATTTCATTAATCAGCACTTGCATGAGATGACGACTCTATACCTCCCTTTCACAATGCCATTTTCTTTTTATGTATAAGCATTTTTAGTTTTTAATTAATTTTCCAATGTCTATATTTGTTATTTGATTTGCTTTATCCTGATGATAATAGATGATCTCTCTAGGTAAACCACAACTCACTGGAAGAATAACAGAAGTAATACTTATTTGTTATTTCTGTTATTTTTTTGTAATAATCAATTTTCTATAATATAACCTGCGCCGCTGGTCACAGTGGCAAGGAATATGCACCTGAGCATGGAATTAATGTCATCCCCAGAGCCGGCACATTTTCAGTCATGGGTCACAGACATTACATTCCACAATCGTTTAACCCATTCGCGCCGGGCGTCACGTATACGTGACGGGCCCACTTTGAGTTCACTTGTTTGATTGTTTACAAACACAGATGGCTCCACTTGCACTTGTACTGCCTGTCTCGTCTGTTTACCCTTTTCTTTAATTTACGAATATTTTTGCGTTATCTTATTTTGCTGTTACTAATGTTTATAACATTAGAGTAACTATAATGTTTATAATAAAAATAACCATCGATATTAACAGCACTAGTAAAAGTACATTATCCCACCAAATGAAATCCGGTAAAGCAGAACCATCTAGTGTAGAGAAATTTCATTAAAAAATATAAAAAATGAACACAGCATTTCCCCCATTTTTTGTTCATTTTTACCCGGCGCAAATGGGTTAACAATGGAAATAATGCAAAAAACCCTTCCTAAATGTCAAATGAGTCCAATCACCCTCCAGGAGCTTTGTGCACTTATGGTAAGTGTTTCCCTTCACCCCTGCCTTGTGCACTTATGGTAAGTGTTTCCCTTCACCCCTGCCTTTGTGCACTTATGGTAAGTGTTTCCCTTCACCCCTGCCTTTGTGCACTTATGGTAAGTGTTTCCCTTCACCCCTGCCTTTGTGCACTTATGGTAAGTGTTTCCCTTCACCCCTGCCTTTGTGCACTTATGGTAAGTGTTTCCCTTCACCCCTGCCTTTAGCCAAAATGCTTACAACAGCCAATTCATGTCACCCCTGCCCACAGCCAGATTTTCCCATGAAGCCATATTTATGCCACCCACTTCTCAAGCCAAATTTTTTCTTGATGTGATATTCACGTCATCCAGATCATAGGGGTTAATATAAAAAAAATAATAAATTTTCATTGTTACTTATGGTTACTGTTATTGCACATGGTGTAAACTGCCAGGAGATATAATATGACAGCTGCTCAATAAAAACAGTCTATTATCATCTTGATACAGCATAACAAATAACAAATATAGACTTAGGAAAATAGAATCAGCATATTTGTCTTTATCAACATATTTGTCTTTAACAACACTGCAAAGAGGAGGCAGAGTCTAGATACTGCTTGTGAGTGTTCATGTTGGCTGGGCCTATAAGCCACACACCCAGGAGAATTGCCACTCAAGCAAGCCTAATGCCCACAATTTGGTTTGTGCATGCACTGCAAGGCACCTGGATCCAATGGGTTAAATGTAATATACAAATAATCCATTTATTCATTCATTTATTCAAATTTATTTATTCAAATAGATTCTTGACATAAACAATAATCAAACACATTTAAAAGTACTTAAATTTCAAGAGCAGGCTTACCTGACCAGGAGTATATAGAATAATCGCATCAGTTAAGTTTACCCTTTCAAGGAACTCTTCCACATGGGGTCGCAATCTTTCTGGATCTCTTAACTGTGGGAACCTTGTCTGAATGCGAGGAATAAACAGGATACCATTAATTACTTCTTGGAATATAATACATGGTTCAACTAAATTGAATTCCATTAGAGAAGATAACTTGTTCAGAGGTCTTGATAATTCATTCATTGTTTGCCATTTAATATATTTGATTGTTTATGCATTTAGTTGATGTTCATTTGAGATATACTTTTGCAGAGTGACCTGTGTATATCTTGCTTGTAAAATTGAAGAGTTTTATGTCACAATCAATGATTTTGTTCATAATGTAAGAGGAGATAAGAAGAAAGCTGCCGAGATTATTTTAAACAATGAACTGCAGCTAACACAAGAATTACAATTTCATCTCATTATTCATCAACCATTCCGCCCAGTAGAAGGCTTGCTCATTGACATTAAGGTATGTGTTATTTATTATAGGATTCATGTAAATTTGCTAGCAGTGGAAATATCAAGACCTCTGAACAAGTTATCTTCTCTAATGGAATTCAATTTAGTTGAACCATGTATTATATTCCAAGAAGTAATTAATGGTATCCTGTTTATTCCTCGCATTCAGACAAGGTTCCCACAGTTAAGAGATCCAGAAAGATTGCGACCCCATGTGGAAGAGTTCCTTGAAAGGGTAAACTTAACTGATGCGATTATTCTATATACTCCTGGTCAGGTAAGCCTGCTCTTGAAATTTAAGTACTTTTAAATGTGTTTGATTATTGTTTATGTCAAGAATCTATTTGAATAAATAAATTTGAATAAATGAATGAATAAATGGATTATTTGTATATTACATTTAACCCATTGGATCCAGGTGCCTTGCAGTGCATGCACAAACCAAATTGTGGGCATTAGGCTTGCTTGAGTGGCAATTCTCCTGGGTGTGTGGCTTATAGGCCCAGCCAACATGAACACTCACAAGCAGTATCTAGACTCTGCCTCCTCTTTGCAGTGTTGTTAAAGACAAATATGTTGATAAAGACAAATATGCTGATTCTATTTTCCTAAGTCTATATTTGTTATTTGTTATGCTGTATCAAGATGATAAAGACT